TACCTGATCATGACTAGTCAACCTATAGACGAAGCCCTACTCATTATTGACTACATTTATGGGCTTTCTAAAATTGGTCATGCCTCCCATAAGAGAAATAAGAACATAGCCTTAGGACACATTGTGACATACATTCTTGAGAAGAAGTATGATCTAGTTCATCCTGATCCTCACCTAAAAACTCCTATCTACTATACTAATGCTTCATTCCGAGCAATTTTTGGGAGAGGTGATAGAAGTGAGGATTTTTAGGGAGAAGGGGAGCACCTGCACCTGTACCTGTTCATGGACCAGCTTTTCAGGATATAGTCCAGTGCTTTGACCGTCTTGAGAGTCATTTTGATCAACACTTTGATCAAATTGAGACTTACCTACAGCAGTAGGATGCTCAATACCAACAGGACATGGGCTGGGTTCGAGTTCAGTTTGACTAGATGAATGCAAATGTGGCTATGATGAGTAGGTATTTTACTTTCTTCAATTAACCACCTCCTCCAAACCAGGGCCCCTCCGAGTGGTAGATGTACTTCTCTGTGTTTGTCTTTACCAGTACTTCTGATATGATGTAATGACCTTTATAGTGTTATGACTGTCTTTTATTTTTATTTTTATCGTTAATGATCCGTGTAGTTGAATTGATATCATGTGAGCTTCCCTGTATTATCTTATTTTGATATCAATAAAACATGTCCTATTTTTTATTTAGTTGATTTTATTCTTTATTTTGGAAATATTCATTAGCCTATATGATTATCCTGACTTAATCGATCTAAAAAGTGATATAATATGATCATCAATACAAAAATTGAATTCATTAAAAAATCTAATTTTTCAAAAATTTTAAGTTAGCTTATAACTAGATCAAGTTTAAGGCTATCAATCTCATATTCTTTTTAGGCATACAAAAACTTTAATATTATTATTGCAATTTTGATGTCTTATTATTCTTTTATTTCTCTTTTCAATATAATTATTTTTGTACTTACAAAAAATTGAGCTTTTAGATTATTGATCTTGGAAAGATCAATTAAATAAAATGGAGATGTGCAAGTGCACAAAAATCAAAAAAATACACAATGGTTCACAAATTAAAAAGAGGCACAAAATTAGCCCAAATATAAAAAGATGTACAGTGTGTCACAAATATTGAAAAGATGCGCAAAGTGCCACAAGTATATATTCTATCTTATATCTATTAATCTTCAATTTCAAATTAATCTAATGTTCAATTATATTTTGTATTAAAATTTGACTTAAATTTATTTTCACTTCATCACCTTTGCAATAATTCTCCTTATCTGATTATCTAGAATGATTCATGACATTGATATATTTTTCCTTGACTGTGTTATATCTTAATTTAAATGATGTGAATCTTTATTTTTCTCTAATAAATATTAATCTTATTATTGCAAGTATAACTCAATCCTTTTCATGATCAATTATCATAGGATTCTCCTATGACTTCTTATATTTATGTTGTTTGTTTCTTCTCTTTTACTATTGTTAAAAAGGGGAAGAATATTTTTTGGCATTTGAATGCTTTGTTCATGTTTTGAATGTTTTGTTCATGTTTTATTTTGTTATTTTATTTGTTCGTGTTTTATGATTTGTTTCTCATTTTAGTGTCATTTTTTCTTTGTGTGCATAAACATAAAAATTAAAAACTATTTTTTTTTTTATAATAAAAACCCCTTATATTCACATGCTTATTCATTCAGGGGGGAGTTAAGGAGAAATTTAAGATTTTCAAGATTACTCAAACAATAATTATTTTGCCATCATAAAAAATGCGGAGATTGTTGAGAGAGTTGCTACTTAGATTTGCATGTTTGACATTCTAGCAACTTGTATATTTTTTATGATTCTAAATATTATTAAGTTTTATTATTATTTACTCCTAACATATTTTCGAAGAATTATTTTTCTTTTTTGTGTTCTAACATTTCAAGGAAATCATACTCCAGATTGTTGAAGACTTCAAATCAAAATCAGTTTAGAATTATTGTAATTTGAAGTCTGTATTTTTCATTTTATTGAGTTTGAGAGAGTGTGATTGTAATTGAGTAACTGAGCACACACAAACCAGGGGAGAGTGCTAAAATTCACATTTCTAAACTGATCGTATAGTATGAAATTAATTCATATGGGACGTTTTGGTCAGTTATTTCTCTAACAAGCAATGGGGAAAACAAAAAAATGTAAAAAATGTTTTCTAAGTATAGATCTTACGAAGGATATTTTTCATTCGTATCGGGACAATCTCCTCTGGTTCGGCCTCGAACACTATTCGTACAGACAAAATATTTTGTTCGTACCTAGACGATCTCCACTAGTTCGACCTCGAACACTATTCGTATGAACGATATTTTTTGTTCGTACCAGGATAATTTCCTCTGGTTCGACCTCGAACACTATTCGTATGGACGATAATTTTTTATCATACAGGGATGATGGGCTCCGAAGCGTGCACGAATGAAGTTCATACGAATGATGTTTTTCGATTATTCCGGGACGATGGGCTCTAGAGCGTGCATGAACGAAGTTTATACGGATGATATTTTTTTATCATACCGAGATGAAGGGCTCTGGTGTGCTTTCGTTCATTTCGTCCCGCTGGTTCGTACATACGTATTTTGACATTTCTTCGTAAGGATATGCCGATTGTACCGGACGGACACAGTTCATACCGGATGATGATCGGGTACAAATACATTTCATACTGATTCATAATGAGTTCGTACACGAAAGTTTTTGAACTATTTTACATGCGAAATATGTTTGTACGGGATGATCGTGGACGGTTAAAATTGAAAAATTCAATTTATACATGGTTTTTAGTGTTTTTTCTATAAGAGGTCCATTAAAAACTGACCTTTAATCTGTTTGTCATTTGGTCTTCATGAATTATAAAGGGAAATTGAAGGAGAGAGCGAGAGAGAGTGTTTGAAGAATATTTCTTCCTATTGGAGCAAGAAGAGTTCACTTGGTTACTCAAGAGCAAGTATCTCTGTGTGTTTTTTTGTGTTTTCTTCACTCTTTTCTCTAGTCCTTCTAGATTTCTCTGTGAAGATCATTCAAGAAGATCTGGATCTCTATCGACACTCGAGGAATGTGAACAGCCGAGGGTTCTCTACTTACACTTGGAGAGTGTGAACAGTCAAAGGTTCTCTACCTACACTTGAAGAGTGTGAACAGCCAAAAGTTCTCTGCCTACACTTGGAGGGTGTGAAAGGATGATGGTTCTCTGCCGCATCGGGGATTGGTGGAAGAGAGTTTTTGTAAAGACTTCTCCGCCCTGTTGTAGGGACAAAAGGAGAGTCACTTTGGTATATAGTGCAATACCTGAAGTTGAAGACTTCAAGGAGTGTATGTAGGTCGTGTTTGACTGAACCACTATAAACTTTTGTGTCTTTTTATTTCCGCTGCTTATTTACTTTACTGCAAGTTTATTTTTCAGTGGTTGAAAATTCATTTTTGAAAAACTTTAAAATCAACTTGCTCAAGTTCATAAATTGGTTTCTATCTTTTTAATATTCAAGTTAGAGCTAAAAATTTTAAATTACCAATTCACCCCCCTCTTGGTTAGCCTTGGGACATTAGTTTAGGTCTAACAACCTATTCTAAAATCAATAAGATTCAACGGATAGTTGTTCTATCACTTAGTAGTTTGTATTAGGCTTCTCTTTTTCTTTTTAATGCTATTGGCATTTTTCAAAAAAAAAAATTATTTTGTTCAAAGCAATGTTGAATTAGATGGGAATATTATTAGTAGAATTTATGTTATATGGACGAAGTGGAGGAATACATCAGGCCTTTTGTGTGATAGAAAAGTACCCATCGAACTCAAGGAAAAACTCCATAAGATAGTGAGACCTGCAATGCTTTATGGTGCAAAATATTGGCCATTAAAAGAGAAGAATGAAATTGTTTTAGAGATGAGGATACTCAAGTGTATGAGTGGCTTTACACTTGGAGGAAAAAATATGAAAGGAGAATATACGAGAAAAGCTTAAAATAGCTTCAGCGGTAGATAGGATCAAGGAGAGACTACCTTAGATAGTTTGGTCATATAAAACTTCAGCCTTTTGATAACTCAATTATGAGAATAGATGTACTATATATGATCAATGTTTAGAAAGTTTGAGGTAACCCTAAAAAGATTTGGTCAGAAAGTATTACAAAGAAACTTTTTTGTTAGATTTAATTATGAATTTAACTCTTAATAGGACATAGTGAAAAAAAAAGTGATTAATGTATCCATTTCCACAGTGGGATAAAGCATGATGTTATCGTTGTTATTGTGGGTCTAGTTCTATTCGTACTAAAGAACTCTTTTGAGTTTCATAACTTTTTATTTTTGCTAAATAAATAATCTTTTTTTCTTTTAAATCTGTTGTTAAACTAATATATATGTATTATGTTATCTATAAACTGTCGGTAAAGATTTTATTGGTTGCATAGTTTAGTAGATTATTTGGAAAAAGAAAAAAGTTAATACTGTAAGAAAATTTATTTGAAAAGTCTAGTTATAGATTTGTACTGATCCAGCATATTATAACATCAAATAGTATAAAAAAATCCACATCGGAAAAACCAGATAAATGTCGAACTGCATACAAATTTCTTAATCACCCATTATAATCGTCAAAACCATCATAGTCTTGGAATTTATGATCAAACAAATTATATTTCTTCATATCACATCATATGAGTAATTACATTTCTATCACATTGAAATAATTTATTAATGACTTAGTTGTTTGTTTGTTGTTCAACAGTTACATCTATATAATATGAATAATTTAATTATATATTTATAATATTTAAATTTACATATAAAACAACAACAACTTATTTATTGTAATCAATTAGCATTCAAAATCCCACTTGCTTTCATTTACGAGATAGAGAAGTTGGATATTAACGAGTAGAAACCTATGAGTAGTTAGCAGTGGCTAATAAAATAATCACCATTTCTAGATAAAAAAAGGAACCTTCTAAGAGCTTGAGAGAACAATTGGGACCTTCTGAAGATTACGGGAAGATGGAATAAGCTGCAAATATACAACTACATAAGAATTAAACATTACCATTCGTTAACTGCGCCATGTAGAGTATTGGTTTTTATTTAAATTTCTGATAAAGCTCGGGTGCATATCCAGCTGATTCACAAGTTCAGAATTAAAAGTATTTCGGAAATAACATTTAAATTATTAGTGTTTTCAGGATTAACAACCAAGTTTTGATTTATATATATATATATTAGAATTTGACTATTCAATTTGCCGAGGCAGCTGCACCCTTCATGATTTGTACTGAGTGAGTTATGTCATCCAGAAACCTGTGAGGATCTGGAATTGCTTGCTCATCCACTTGAACAACGACCTTTATCTTGTTCAAATAACTTTGAACTTGCATCGTTAACGGCTGCATGTTTTTCAATAAACAAATCTTTAAATGTGTTTCTTAAATGTAATCATATGTGCAATTTAGAGTGAGATGTAGAAAAATTGATAGTTCAATTAACTGCAAAAGTTAGCTGCTCCCTTATTATGTTTAACCTAAACAAGAAAAACTATAGAAAGAGAAGATAGAAATACAGATCCTACTTTTTCCCATTGCACGCTCAAGTATAATTGAGGTCAAAACAATTAGAATATGCTTTCAGATAAAAGAGAGACGAGGCTAAGAAAACCCTCACTACAAGGCTAGTTGGCAACAAGTAGGATTTAATTTTAGCAGAATTTAAAAAATTGTAGAAATTAGAATTTAGTAAATCCCACTGAAAATCTTAAGGGCCTATTTGACAACAAGTGATTTAATTTTAGCAGGACTTACTAAATTATATTTATTAAATTACTTAGATTAATTCCTAACTAATTACAATCTACGATTTTCTTCTCATTCAATAGCGTACAGCTTGCCTTTGTTTTCTCCATCTCTTTGTTACTTAAATTCCTAACTAATCTGCTCGCTGTTCATATTATTTTTTCTCGGAAGTAGCAACGAGAGCTTACACACTGTAATGGTAACTATCTTTCTCCATTTAACTCGCTGCTTTGGCCGAATCCCTTATATCATCAGAACTACAAGATTTAGTAAATTTAGAATTTATTGCAAAAAGAGGTAAATGAAGGATTTATTCCTCCGTGAGATTTACCGCCAGCTCAAATCTTTTTGGCATGATTTAGCATAAATCTTGCTCAATTTTTGCATAAATCATGTTGTCAAATAGCCACAAGAATTAAAAAAAAAAAGAATGGAATACCCGGCTACAAGGATGACTAAAGATTTATCATTGCAACAATTATAAGGATAACTTCCCATAAGGATAACCGCCCAATCTAAATTTGTAAACAAAACAATATATAATTGTAGGCTTTGAGTGGTCAAGTAACACTTTTGATCAAAATATAAACTTTATATAGAGTTTCTCCAATACTAACATTCTATTGTTGCATTTATTGAATTTAAACTTCTATGTTCCTGAAAAAAAGAAAAAAGAAGAATTTTACTAAGTGTTGAAGCATACCAAGTAACCTAGATTTCGAGTATTTTGATTCAATTGCATCAGAGAGAAAAATTAGAGCAGCGATAACTACAAAAGTTGGTTGCTCCTTAAAATGTTAAGCCAAAACAAAAAGTAGAGGAAGAGAAGATAGAGAACAAGAGACCCTACTTCTCCCTTAAGTCAAAGCAGTTAGAATATTCTTTGAGACCAAAGAGAGATGAGGCCAAGAAAACTCTCACTATAATAAAAATAAAGGCATGGAATATCCGGCTGTATAGATGACTAAGTTTTATCAATGCGACAAAAAAATCATAAGGAGAACCTTTCAATCTGAAATTGTAAGCAAATCAATATATAATTATAGATTGAGATAGTGGTTAAAATTTCCTTTATGATACCCTACAAGCTAAATTAGGTTTACATACCAGAACAAACCAAGGCCTCCTTTATTCCTTAAGACTTATTAATAAAGATTCTAATTTTATGGTTGATAGAAAATGTGATGTAAACTTTGCCATAACAAGGCAATATAGTGGTGATGTTACATGTGCTATAGTTCCTTTAGATGCGTGACATGTAATCCTATAGAATACATTTTATGGAATAAAGATAATTTGATTATAAAAGATACCGAACTTATAATTTTTAAAAAATACTAATAATTATGTGGTAGATAAGGCAATTGCAGAGGTGGACATAAAAGAAGCACAATAAGCATGAAAAAAGAAGATCGCTTTCAATGACTAAAGCCTTTTCAATAGTATTAACTAAATAAGACTGCCAAATCTAAAGCAAAAAAGTAAAAGGAGGCCAAGTGATATAGTGCATCATAAACCTATCATAAGGTCTACGACAAAGAATTAGTGGCTATAATCAACAATGGTGTCTTAATATGATTCCTAAATTTGTGGGGAACCACACCAAGACTTATGCAATACATTTCCAACATCAAGGGATGACCAAATGTTTCTACAAATCATTGTCCACTACTCAAGAAGCCAAAACAATGAACACTTCTCAAAATAAGTGTCTGCCTCGGCATCGCCAAGCAAGTGCCAACACTACAGGAAAATCACTTATTACCGGCGGAATTTTCCGGCGGCTTTCCGGCGGTCAGTTTTCCGGCGGCTTTCTGGTGGTTTTTGACGCCTTATTTCCTACAAAAATTTCCGGCGGCTTTCCAGCGGATTACCGGTGGCTTTCCGATGGCTAATTTCCCCGCAAAATTTTGCAACGGCTAATTTCCCGCAAAATTATCCCGTGGAATTTTCCGGCGGCTTTCCGACGGCTTACCGGCGGCTTTCCGACGGCTAATTTCCCCGCAAAATTTTGCGACGGCTAATTTCCCGAAAAATTATCCCGCGGAATTTTTTCGGCGGCTTTCCGACGGCTTACCGGCGGATTTCCGGCGGCTTTCCGACGGAGCACCGGCGGCTTTACTTAACTAGTTTATTTTAATTATCAATTAAAATAAAAATTTTAAATAAATAATGTTTAATTATAATATTCAGACTATTTTAATATAAATAAAAAAATTCGGAAATTATTTTCCTACGCTGTTTTTTCTGGTGGCAAGAAAGCCGCCGGAAAACTGCCGGAAAATTAAAAAACCGCCGGAAACTGCTCAAATTCCGCCGGAAAAAGCCGCCGGAAGTGGGTGATTTTCCTGTAGTGCAAACCACCTCGGCATTCAATGAACCAGACCAACTTAAAGAGTTTTATTATCATAAGGCACACCCATGTTTATCAAAGATGAATAACACACTAGAGTGTAAAGTTCCTCATAGAGTCATAGCGCATAACAATGATGCCGCATGTGCTTTTTTAAACATGGAAGATAAAAAAATATGAAAAAAAAAAAGTTAAAAAAGTAGCTAATAGTGAAATACACACTAGAAAATTTTCAAAAATAAAATGTAGTTTAAAAAACTGAATTGTTTGTTAAGTGACATAGGAGCTGCTGTTATCTAAACAGGAAATAAATCCTAGTATTCATAAAGTACCCAGACTGTCCATTAACAGTCTTCTGGTTCTATTCCCTGCTGCTGGTTCGGTTCGGTTCAGGCTTTCTTGCTTTTGGGTCTAGTGTTAATTATCTTAATAATGTCTATATATAGAGTCCATGTCTTGGGGGGAGGGTAGAGAATTTGTAAGCAGAAATTCTGCATTTTCCCTTGGATGGAGGTTTGTAACCTAGCGTGGCAAACCAGGGGGTGAATCTGCCGCAAAAAAAGCTAAGTTCCTATTCATTTCTTTTCTATAATCTGTCCGTTTGTCTTTTGAATTGATCATTCTCTATATCTGTAAATCGTTTGACACCTATTTAATCCATTCCGGTGTTAATTGGTATCAGAGGAATCCTATCCAAGAATTCTTCCTAGAAATTCTTCTCCTATTGCTGTTTTTTTTCCTAATTTCAGGTGGCTGTGGAGAGTTAGTGTTTACCAGAAACCATGCCACCAAGAAAGTGGATTCCAAGAAACACCCAAGAACAAACAATTGAAGAACTACGAATGGAGGTCAGTCAACAAGGAGAAATGCCATAAGATACTGAAGAACCACATCCGGAAGAAGTTGATGAGAATCCTTTCCATCATGAGGGTTCAAGCGGAGAAGATGACATCCCATTGAGATATCTTTGGTGGAAACCAAGAAGACATGTGCATGATTACGGCATACGACTTAATCTTCCAGAATTCGAAGGACGTTTGGATCCAGACGAATTCATCAATTGGTTACACACCATCGAACGAATTCTTGATTATAAAGAAATACCGCAAGAACGCATTGTCAAACTTATCTCCATCAAACTCAAAGGAAATGCTTTGCTATGGGAAAATCTTAAGTGATCTCGTCAGAGAGAAGGTAAATCAAGAATCACCGCATGGGCAAAGATGACCAAAGAACTTCAAAAGAAGTTCTTACCCATGCACTATCGCCAAGATAAGTTTCTCCGCCTACACAATCTATAACAGCACGAACTTTCAGTAGAAGAATACGCTGCTAAATTTGAACAATTGGGTCTCAAATGACAATTGGAGGAAACGAAAGAAAACACCATTGCTAGATTCTTGGATGGACTCAACTCGTCCATCTCCAACATTGTCCACCTCCAATAATATTGGACATCATCCGATGTCATTAACCTTTATTTGAAGGTAGAGAAACAATTGAAGCAAGGAATACGACAAATGTCCACTAGAGAGCAGCTAAACGGAACACACCCCACGAGCAGCAAGGTATCAGAGAGAAGTAATGCGACCCCGTACCCACCAAATGTGGGCACTAGCATGGCCCATTCTTGGTTGTCCACAAACAGCCCACCCACCAACTCTTTTCCGGCAATAAGATGTTTCAAGTGCCATGGATTTGGTTGTTGCGGATCTATGATTTTGATGATAGCAAACATTCCTTATTTCTCTACGATTGCCTTATGTGATAACGTTTCAGGTCCACAGGATCAGACTGCAATCTGAAACCAGCTCAAGATTGGGTAGACTAGGTTTGTGTCAGTTTGTAATCTTTTTTCTTTCTTGAGTCTGTTGTATTTGGTGTGGTATCTGATGATTTGTAGCTTGTAAGATTTTCTGTTGTACCCTAAAATATTTCTATTTTTGGTAACATCGTCCGGGACGATATTTATATAATCCTGGACGATCTGACAAAAGTAGAAACCCTAATAAGGACATCCTCATTAAAACAACTGTCTTTTTTCAAAACACATCGTCCTGGATGATTTTGTATCGGCCAGGACGATCGGCTCAATTCAGCAAGAATCTGCCGCCATATCTACTTAGGAAAATCTTATTTTTGGATATCATCCTGGTATATCGGCCTGGACTATAAAATATCGTCATGGCCGATCCAGGATAATTTTTCCAAAATTTCTCAATTTGCTCAAAGCAGTTTTTGGAAA